GAGGTCTCTGAAGCAGATAACTCTACTTTATCTGCCCCACGTGTCTTGGGTACGAACGGGAAAAGATGATGAAAAAAACTCCATTAGAGATTAAGCCTAGGCAGGGATATAACGTTCAGCACGTCAAAAAAAAAAAAGACAGAATTACAGGAAACATTGACATGTCTGACGTTGTTGTAGTGCTTGTGGCTGGATTGATTCCGTCGACAATAAGCTGGTTTATAATGTTTTCTAATGGAAAACGTGTTTGAATAAATGCCTTCCGTCGTTATTGTTGAGATTTTCTTCGATCTCTATGTTTTTGCATGGTTGCAAAGACTTGCCTGGCTTTAAAGTTGACAATGCTGCCTAAATATGTACAATCTTTTACTTACTCTGCTTTGTGTGTTGTTTATTTTAATAATTAGAGTAATAATAATAACACATACAAACACATACTAGTGCCACGGCCGAACGCGTAAATAGTTGAAGGGTGTGATTCACTAATGCAGTTCAAAGTTATCTCTCAAATAGTTTTTCTATAGTTTCGTCCAGTTCTCCCTCAGCCCCCCCTCCCCCGTCTGCGACCGCCACCTTCTCACACCCCTGAACAGCGTGATAAAAGATCAGTCCACCCATCGCGTTTATCCAGTTACCCATACCCTCGCAATCAATTATTTTAAAAAAAAATCTAGTCCATGCGTCTCACTTGTGGTCTAACCACAACAACCCGTGAATCCGCCATTTTCACTCGTGGCCCGATATTCTAGTTTCCCAACTGAAATTCCTGTGCGATAAGGTCAGACGTACCGTATCTTGATAGCTGACTACTGTTTATAAATTAAGACCAACCTTTACGTAAGAAACTATAACAGATTCATATAGATCTAGGTGAAATAAAGCGATACTACATAACTGGGTCAGGTTCGACTGGGTACTTTTTCACGCAGTCTGTAAATGCCCGTCTAAATTCGTTTCTAGACCACTGGGATAATCTGATTCACTGCTGATTCACTTGTGCTGCAATCATTTATTTTTTAAACTAACCCGATTTCTTCAACTCGGAGCCCCGACCCTTTTATCCCACCCCCACCCAGTGGGGGGGGGGGTGCACTTGAAACTTTCGAAGGGAGGGTCGACTAAATTTTCCAGGGGTGGGGGTACTCTGGTAGTATATATTTTCTATGTTTTATTTCATGGGGTGGGGGGTAGACGTTAAGGAAACGGTATCTCCACCACACCCTAAAATTTACAAGTCCGTCCTTAATTAATGAAACAATACTTTTTGTTTTATATTGCTGTAATAAATTCTACACATAATTAACGATTGTTTTGTTTTTCCCACTTGCTTTATAAACTATAAAATGATTTGGGTAAGCTGGTGATTTTATGTAGTACAGTAAGACGTTGTTTTTGTTCATCGTGGATTTCTTCGATTCTCTTTGTTTTGTTTGTTTTTATTCACGACTCATACCAAGTTGAACCATGCCTTAATTGTGGGGAAACAGCGCTACTGTATATCAGAGGTATGCTGTATGTGAATGGATATTGCATGCTTTTCGAATATACATCATAATTTTTTTTTGTAAAGTAATCTTGACCCGTGTTTATTGTTTTTTTTTTATTTTGTGCATATTATTGCATCTTTGTTGTATTGAGAATGCATTTACTTAGTATTATGATTTTATAATGTTGAAATGCGAAATATTAGAAAAGTAAAAAAATAAAAATTCGAATTAAAATGCACTTAATTTAAAACACAAAAAAAACATTGTATTTAACAATAATTGTTAAAATTAAAGCGTCATTAGCAAAATAAAGAAACCATAAAAATTGGTAAAATAAAAAGAGTCGCTTCCCTGCAATGTACGCTAAATAAATTGTTCTTTGGTCTGTCGGTTGGATCTTAGACCACAAAAATAAAGTATTTATATCTACAAAAGTTGTGAATAATGATATAAGTTATGTCTATATATTCCAGTAAGGACATAGTAACTGACGTATACTTCTCCTAGTGATTTGATCATGATGGTATCGCCCAGGCTTGTATACGGAGTTAGGTCCCTGCTACGACTGTAAGTACTTCTTACTTTCATAGGAAATGTTGAATTATGTATTCACATTCATTTGATTACGAGTTTAACTAGATAAGTAGACAGATTATTAAGATGTAGAGACAGAGGCGTAGCGAGGGTGGGGCGGGGGTGCGCACTGCGACTGGTGACACCATTTAGGGGGGGGGGGGGGGTAACAACATGGCCAACAAAAATGAAAAATGTACAGAAGCAAAATGCTTTTTTGCCAGTTCCATTAATGATTAATTAAAGTTAAATAGACTTAAGTACAAATCGTCAATTATTACAAAGGGGTGGGGGTGACACAATGAAGTAAACGTACTAACTATAGAGTAAACATTGCTACATCCAACTGTAATATTAACAGACTATAGATAAACATCGTTACTATTACGTCTGCATTGATTCAAGATTATACTCATAAATGTACTCGTTTGCGACATACA